AAGATACTCTCTCTGGTGCAGCGGTAGAAGGTCCCCAGCAGTTTTCCATTCCGTTGTTGTTTCCTGAGAAGCCTCCGGTAGTATAATCTCTGCTGGGCCTTTTTGACTAGGGCTGCAATGTGAGCCCCCCAGGTCAGGTCCTCTTTTAGGGTAACACCCAGAAACTTAAAACTGGCTACTTGCTCCCCTCGGTCTCCCTTGATAAGCCAGGGCTGGATGTCTGATCTGTTCCTTCTAAATAGTCCAAGTTATTCTCTCCACATCACGAAGGGTCCATATACCAGGCCTCCATGGCAGGACTGGGTCAAAATACTACTCCAGTGTTTCTCAATCGTGGCAGCTTGAAGATTGAAGCCTGGCTGGCTGGAGGATGCGGGAGTTGAGGTTCCCCCCCTCCATCTTAAGGTCGGCACGGTTGAGAAACATTGCACTACCCTGTAGTTTTCAGCGACACAAAGCTGGCGTGATTCCTGGCTTTTGTTTCTGAAATTCAGGGCTATGCTGTCTAGATATTAAATTGATATTATTATTATTATTTTTGCTGTATTCCTGCTGAGTATTTATTCTTATTTATTTTATCGCGATATTGACATTTTTTAAAATTGCGCTCATTGGCTCAGAATCGCTCGGCCAAGATGGCGGCCAGGTAGATCGAATCAAATCCACGAAACGGTAAAATGAAAAACGACCTGGCTTCGGGGGACGACGGTCAGCTAGGCCCAGTGCTTGTTTTTGAATGACACAAACTGAAACTGGATTTAAAGTTAAGTTTAAGTCGGTTGACGGTGTTGCCTTCCATTCTTTCCTAAAACATTGGTGATGGTGGGGGAAATGGATAAAATTAATCCCAAGGTGAAATGTGCCTTTCCTACCCTCACACTGGCACAGAAATAGACCGCACCGAGCTACAACAAAGGAGTCATAACAAAACGATAGGCTGGTTTTTGTATTTTATGTCCTTGTCCACTGACCTACTGATACACACACACACGCACGCACCCCATTGCATGCACCACTTGCTGTTCCCAATCCAGATCAATCACAGCCTTCAGTATATTAATGGCATCTTATTTGTACTGAATGCCTCATTAATGCTAACATTCCCTGGGCGTCTCTCTGCCACCCTCCCCGGATGGAGAGTATTAATTGCTTGCTTTGTAATTAAATATTAAGGCTGCGATATTTCACGCTCTGCACAGCTGGCAGGGAAAGGGGACCCGCGCACCGTGTGAGTGTCACAGGCAGGGTATTGCTTCAGATTGCCAGAGCCCCTCAGGAGCCCCTGCTCAAGGCTACGGAGCAAGCGTGGTTCAATCTTGGGCCAAGATTCACACGAACACAGGAGGTCCTTGACTTAAGCAGTTCAGCCCCAAATTTATGTTGCTTAAACGAGACAGTTCTTAAAGTGAGTTTCCCACCCCCCACTTTACGACCGTTTCCTGCCACAGTTGTTAAGTGAACCACTGCAATTGTTCAAGTTAGGAGCCGGATGGTGAAGTGAACCGGGCTTCCCCGTTGGCTTTGCTGGTCAGAAGGTCCCAAAAGGGGATCATGTGACCCTGGAATGCGGCGACTGTCATAAATACGAACCAGTTGCCAACTTGGATCATGTGACCAGGGGGAATGCTGCGCCGATCGTAAGTGTGAAAAACGGTCCTAAGTCACTTTTTTCAGTGCTGCTGTAACTTTGGATGGTCACTAAATGAACTGTTGTAAGTCAGGGCTAAAGGCTCAGGAGAGAGAGGAAGCAAGAGGTGGTTCTCAGGAAGAAGCAAGGAGGAAGCGGCCCAGTCTGAGTTAGATAGTCCTTGACTTACGACCACAATTGGAATCAGAATTTCCATCGTTAAACATAGTTGGTCGTTAAAAGAGTTGCGCCAGATTTTACGACCTTCTTTATCATGGTTATTAAGAGTTGTTAAGCAAATCATGAGATTGTTAAGCAAATTTGGATTCCCCTGTTGTTGGAAGCTGGCTTGGAAAGCCGCAAATGGCGATCACATGACTCCAGATGCTGCAACAAACACATTCCAGGTGCCAGGCTCCCACACTTCGATCATGTGACCGTGGGAATGCTGTGCCGTTTATAAGTGTGAGGACTGCAAGTGTAAGTCACTTTGTTCAGTGCACCTGTAACTTGTTGCTAAATGAATGGTTATAAGTCAGGGTCTGCCTGTATCTATATTTGACCGCTGAACTGATTGCACTGGAGAGCTGCATGTGTAGAACCAAAAATGGACTAAACACCTAGTAGAGTACTACATTTAGAGTCCTGCATCCAGTTCTGGTCACCGCATTATGAAAAAGGATGTTGAGACTCTAGAAAGAGGATGTTGAGACTCTAGAAAGAGACTCTAGAAAGAGTGCAGAGAAGAACAACCAGGATGATGAGGTGACTGGAGGCTGAAATATATGAAGAACAGTTGCATTGGCTATGTCTAGTCTAGAGAAAAGAAAGATTATGGGATTACATGATAGCAGTCTTCCAATATTTGAGGGGCTCCCACAGAGAGGAGGAAGAAGGGGTCAAGCTATTTTCCAAGGCACCCGAGCGCCAGACAAGGAATAATGGGTGGAAACTGAACAAGGAGAGATTCAACCTGGAAATAAGGAGGAATTTTCTGACTGTGAGAACAATCAACCCATGGAACAGAAATTGCCTTCGGAAGTTGTGGGAGCTTCATCATCCCTGGAGGCTTTCAAGAAGAGACTGGACTGCCATCGATCAGAAATGGTGCGGGGTCTCCTGCTTGGGTGGGAGGTTGGACTAGATGACCTACAAGGTCCCTTCCAACTCTGTTAATCTGTATCTGAGTTTCCCCAAAACTGCGAAACACCAAACCAAGGACGGCTTCCACCAAGATTAGCTTTATGTTTTACCTTGTCAATGGTGCTGGGTGAAAACAGTCTGAGGGATGATTCATACACACATTAAACCCTCTTCTGAAACCTCATTAACCAAGATTTAAAATATGCAGTAGATAAAAAAAAATGTAATACAAAGGAGAGCAACCTGGGTAGCACCCTCTTTAGACACCACCTTAGACAAACCAGCAGTCAACTGAACTTCTCTACACAGAGCTTGCCCCCATGCGCTTGGCCTAAAGGGAAACAAGACTCTAGTCCTCATGGTTCCAATTAAGAGTGCATTCTACTATAACCACAGGGTGCAGACTTAGCCGTCTACCTGCTACTCTCCACAATGTCACAGAGGGTTCCCCCCCCACCTTCGTCCTACCTGAAACTTGGAATCCGAGGCATTATAAACAGCCTCCGATTCATCCTCCCAGAGAAGAGAGAATAGGAGAGGAGATGGCTTAAATATTTCAAAAGTATCCTCGCGAGCACCTTTTGCTATCTCAATCCTGGGGAAAACTGGAATTTCAGAACACCTAAGGGAAGAGGTATAAACATCAGAGCAATGTGGCTGTTGTTTTTTTTTATCTCGTCAACTTTAAGACGTGTGGACTTCAACTTGTGGGTTTCAACCCTTGTCAACTTGTAATAGCTGTGGACCTCAGGTCCCAGAATTCCCCAGCCGGCACGTGTGGATTTCAACTTTAACATGCTGGCTGGGGAATTCTGGGAGTCGAGTCCAGGCATCTTCAAGCTGACACGGGTTGAAAAACACTGAAGGGGAGCCTTGAGTTTTTCCTCCATTTCAGCCTCAGCTGCCCCCACTTCCTCCCAAGTAGAATTTACTGACGCTGCAACTTCGCAACATTTGCATTCACACATCTTTAGCCTGATGACTGAATTAGAGTCATTTTCTGCAACACAGAATCCACTGCATCGCAACAAACCAAATGCAACGGGATGGACGCACACAACCAAACAAGATGACAACGAACAGAAGCTCATTCTCCATCAAGTTGCTTAGGCAGCCGGTGGGAATTCAGCCACCTTTATCATGCCTCTAGTCCACGGCCCCCAAAGCCTCCAGGCCGGGGGTGGGATTAAAAATTTTGTTACTACCGCTTCTGTGGGCGTGGCTTGGTTGGTGTGGTATGGCTTGGTGGGCGTGGCAGGGGAAGGATACTGCAAAATCCCCCTTCCCTCCCCACCCCACTAACCTGCTTTCCAGCTCCGTTCTCCTGTGCAGGGCAACCAAAGGAGACCCAGCCGATCAGCTGGGACTCAATGGGAGGCAGAGAAGAGATGGGGTTGGCGGGGCCAGTCAGAGGCGGTATTTCGAACTACTCAAAATTTCCGCTCCCGGTTCTCCATAACTGCTCAGAACCTGCTGAAGGCCACCTCTGCTCCGGGCTCACTGGAAACCCCAATTCAAAAGGAGGTCTGGAGGTGGAGACTCCACCAAAAGTTAAGCAAAGCCGGCCTTCGCCCCTCAATCCTTGGATGGGAGACCACCTGCAAATCCCAAAGCTGGAGGCTGGAGTGAGAAAACTCTACCAGATGATGCAAACAAGCTACCAACCCTGTAATGGATGCTTCCCTGAGCAAAAATCAGAAGCGATAAAGAAAGAGAGAAGCCTTCTGGAAGGTTCTGCTCCACCCCTTTTCCAGGGGCAAAACCCCTGCTATCTTCTGGCTCATCTCCAGTCTGTCAATCTGCAAAGCCTGCCTGCTCTGTAGCAATGTTTCCCAGCCTTGGCCATTTTAAGGCCTGTGGACTTCAGCTCCCAGAATTCCCCAGCCAGGTCTTAAAATGGCCCCGGTTGGGAAACATTGCTCTATAGCCGCCCGTCGCTATTCTCCCAGCGTTGTCTTGCACTGGAATAACAGAGTTGGAAGAGACCTTGGAGGTCTTCTAGTCCAACCCGCTGCTCAAGCAGGATTGACTCAGATCTACCGAGATGCAAGGCACAGGGTTGTAAAGGAATGCCAGCAACTAAGTTCGTTTTCAGTTTACTTCTCCCCGTGGATGAAAACATTTGGATCTGCTTTTGGCTGGGAGGCTGGTCTCTTCGCTGGTGATGGGGAAGGTGAACCTTTGTCACACTGGAGGAGAAGGAGGAGGGGAAAGGGACGCATCCACTGACCTTTTGATGCCTGGGGAGTCTCACTGGCTGTTCTCTCTGCCCCCCCTTCTGAGTACACGAAGGACCCTACCGGAGAAGCAGAACAGACCGTTAGCGGGGACAGACTGGACACGGGGCCCAGTCCAGGCACACAGCCCTGCGCTCTCCAGATCATCCACAGCGTAGCTTACAGGCAGTGCTTGACTTACGACGACTGATTCCATATTCTATTCCTGTTCTGTTCTATTATTATTTCTTCATTATTCTGTTCCATTTCATTCCATTATTATTCTATTCTATTCTATTCTATTCCATTCCATTATTATTCTATTTCATTATTATTCTATTCTATTCTATTCTATTCCATTATTATTCTATTCCCTTATTATTCAGTTCTATTCCATTCCATTTTCTATTCCTATTCCTATTCCTATTCCTATTCCTATTCCTATTCTATTCTATTCTATTCTATTCTATTCTATTCTATTCTATTCTATTCTATTCTTATTCTATTCTATTCCTTCTAATATCTATTCTATTCTATTCTATTCCTATTCTATTCTTTCTCCATTATTTTATTCTATTATTATTTCTTCTCTATTCTATTCTATTCTGTTCTATTCTATTTCATATATTGTGCATGAACACAATGAAAGATATTATCAGATAAAAACTGGAGGCACATACATTTCCAACAGTGGGATGTAGACAGGTTACAATTTCTAAAACATCAACATGGCAACCATGGTGATACAATCAAAGTTCTGATTTTAACAAATATGTAGAACTGATAAGACCACTGTGGCCACCTCATTTCTTTTCTTTTATCGTGCTGTGCATATACCCCTGCTCTACCAGCTCTTCACATTATAGGCAGTCCTCAACTTACTGTAAGGCATCCAGAAAGTATCCATGATATCCATCACTCCGAGACATATCCTCTCCAATTGATTTATTTAGGAACAGATCTGGTACGTCTAAGGCAATTTCCCGAAGTGAAAGTATTTTCAGGCGTTACACAGAATCCACCTTCTCTCCTCCCACTTCTACACTTCATAAACCACGAGAACCAATTAACTCCAACTGGAATTTCGTAGTACGACATACAGAATAACCTTGAACTTTTCAACTCCTCCACTCCCCTTGAATTATGTGGCAGCTGAATTTCAAAGCTGACACAATAGTTCATTTAATGACTGTTCAAAGCTACAAGGGCACGGGAAAAAGTGATTTATGACCGTATTTCACACTTAGGACCATTGCCACATCCCCGCGGTCATGTGATGAAAATTCAGGCGCTTGGCAACTGACTCATACTTACGACGGTGGCAGTATCCCAGGGCTAGGTGATCCCCTTTTGCGACTTTCTGACAAGCAATGGGGAAGCCAGATTCGCTTAACAACCGGGTCACTGACTTAAGAAGCGCCATGATTCACTTACACAAAGTGAATCGTAAAATGGGGCAAAGCTCACTTAACAACTGTCTTGCTTAGCAACATAAATTTTAGTTTAGTTTAGTTTATTGTCCTTGCACCTCGTACAATGAAATCAAACACCCTCTTCAGTGCACATCATGACCATGAAAATAAACCCAAACACACATCCTTCACCATCCACACATTGAACCAAAAACCCCCGACACCGCACCAACCCTGCACTGTACAGCGGAATTCAGCAGAGCTCCTGCCCTGGGATAGAAGCTGTTTTTCAGCCTATTTGTCCTTGTTTCTAATATTCTGTACTGTCTGCCAGGTGGTAATAGTTCAAAAAAAGGGTTTTTTGAGATCAATTGTGGCTGTAAGTTGAAGACTACCTGTATTCACCTGTTTCTAGGAGTCACAGAGAGTTCTCTCTTTATTCACTTTGAAAACCCTACACCAGCAGAATATAAAACAAGGCTGAGGTGTGAAGAGGGCCCCTAAAACAATTATTTCCCGGGGGGGGGGAGTTTGCACAGGCCCTATATCACTTTTCACACCAGTCTGGCTGCTGGCATCAGAATGAAACCAAATTCAGCAAACAGCACAGCTGAAAGGAAGGTAGGCTCCTGAACACTGCATGTAAACAGCAGCTGTTAGTGTGCGTGTGTGTTTATTTAAAAAAAATGATAACGTTTATACTGAGAGAACTTGTGCTGAAACATCTATCAAAGAAACACATAAGTGGAAGAAGAAAAGCCGCCTGATTTGCATTTTTAAAATATCTTGGGAAATGTACATTTTAGCGGTTATGCAAATGAGGGGAAGAGAAAGACTCCATGACTAAACAGTCCAGGTTGCTGTGAAGATAAACTGTTATAAAATTTACTTTTTTCATCTATTGGGAGGGGGGGGTGGAGGGAGAATCCTTTTTGATCACCCTATTGTTTTACTAAAGAGCCAGCAACAAAGTGGGCATGATCCCTTTTGATCAAGTCGATTTCCTACCACGTCAGGGTTCTGTTTTTGTTTTTTGTTCCTCCCCCGGCACCTATGCAGGTTCAAAATGCTCCCTTTGTATTGATTTCTTTGCAAAAAAAATAATGATTTTATCCTTTGGCAAACCTTGGGATTCTTCTTGGGAATCTCTCCTCCTGAATAGGGGAGGTGCCATTTTAGGGGGTATATCTCTTGGTATTTCTCGGCAATAGGGAGAAATGCCAGAGAATACAAAACCTTTAATAAGCAAAGCCAAAGTACTACAGTATTGTACAGCTAACCTTCAATTTACAATAGTTCGTTTAGTGATGTTTCAAAGTTACAGTGGCCCTGAAAAAAGGGACTCAGGACCAGTTCCCACACTTACGGCCGTTGCAGCATCCCCAGGGTCACATGATTTACATTCAGATGCTGGACCACTGACTGACATTTATGACGGTCGCAGAGTGCCAGGGTCATGTGATAACTTTTTACAAACTTCTGACAAGCAAAGTCAATTTGGGGAAACCAGATTCACTTCACAGTCCTGTTACTAATTTAACAACTGCAGTGATTCACTTAACAAACGTGGCAAGAAAAGTCGTACAATGGGGCAAGACTTACTTAACAAAGGTCTCACTTAGAAACATAAAGGTTGGGCTCAGTTGTGGTCGTAAGGTCAAGGACTACCTGTATAGGATCCCTGCACTGGGTTGACAGGGGTTAGACTAGATGATCTCCAAGGTTTTTCTCCAACCTGACATTCTATATTTAGATAAAATTACCCTTATTAAGAGATTTTTTTTGAACTGCAAAAGCTGTTTTTGCAATCTGCCTCACAGGAAGAGATCAACTCTCCTTGCCAAGCATTTGAGCAGACGTTAAAGGGCTGTAAACTTTAGCACATTCTCACACTGGGCCACGGGGTTTGGACTAGATGACCGCTTAAGGTCCCTTCCAACCCTCTCTAGAATTCTATGAAATGGAGAGCTGGCTTATTTCAAAGTGAAGTGTCGGCTTCCTGCAGCATGTTTGTTATCAATCATATCCACACGGAGCCCAGAAACTTTCTCTGGAAATAACAATGGAGGGCCAGGTATTAACTTAAGGAAGGCTGTTCCCTCTGCAAAGAATGAAGGAGAGCAGGTGTAGTAATCAACCTGCTCCAGGAGGGGGAGCCCAAGGAAATGATAGATACATTGCTAAACAGGTCCTTGACTTATGTCCACAATTGAAACAAGCCTTTCCATTGCGAAGCAAGGCAGTTGTTAAAGTGAATTGTGCCTAATTTGACGACATTTTGCACACTTGGAAAATGCCCATAAGTCATTTTTTTCAGCGCTATTGTAACTTCAAACGGCCACTAAGCGAACTGTTGTAAGTTGAGGACTACCTGCATTTGCAGAAGACGCTTAGCCTTGGAACCGAATTCACCTAGCTTGGCTTCCTGCTATATACTGAATTCTAAACAAAGCTGGTGTAACAAGGGGAAAAAAAAACAGCTAGCAAGGTTAACTGGGTATTTCAAGTGATTAAGCATAATGTGTGAACAAGCCCTTTAAGAGCCAGACTTTGGAAAATAAACAAATGCCATCGCAAACAGATCTCTGCTTAGTATCACATAAGGAGAAGCCAAAGAAACTGGGGGCATTCGGAAGAAAAAGCTACCGAGAGGGTGATATCTTTATGTCAAAGGGCAGTCCCTCAACTTATGACCACAATTGGGAAGCAGAATTCATCCCATCAAGCCCCATCGGAATTTGCTCCAACTCTAAAAACCCAAAACACTTCAGCCTCTGAACTGGGAAGGCAGAAAGTGGGAACATTTTGCTTTCAGACTTAGATCGCTGTTTCTCAGTCACCCTAATAAATATTTTATTGTTTAAGCAATTAACCGCATCCTTCTGGGATGTACATCAAACCTGAAGCAGTTAGAAGCTTTAAAAGTGTGTGCCTACACACGCACTCTCTTTCTCTCTCTCTCATATACACACAGAGAGAGAAATAAACTGTGTGTGTCTAAGTGTCCTCTTTTAGCCCCTTTTTGGGTGATGCGGAATGTTCATTGCCACCTGCTGGGTGGGGCTTGCAAAAAATGTGCCTCAGTGAGACCCCACTTTCTCCCACAACTGAGGACTAACCTCGCATTGGCAACAACCAATTGGCAAAATGTCCTGACTGCCATTTATGACTTTCCCGGGGGGGGCTCGACAAGCCAATGGGGAAAGCTGGATTCACTTAACGACCGTGCCAAAAAAAAAGGACAAATTCAACTGCAATTTTATTGACTGCATCACTTAGTGACAGAAGTTCCAGTCCCAGCTGTGGTTGTAAGTCAAGGACTTAAGCCATGCTTGATTAAAAATGGTTTATTCAATGCATCACAAACTGGCTGGGCCTTCACCCATCCTAACCGCCCCCCTTTCCAATCCATGCCATTTCTCTCTCAATTCTTGAAACTTATACACATTGAAGTTCACATGTCTGAAAAACATCCAGACTAAAGCAGACAATCTTATAGTTTATGTGGCCCAAAATCTGGCTTCACATGATCTGATAAACCGAAAGCCAACAAGCAAAATGAAGATTTAAATGCAATGCGTTAAGCCCTGTCAGTACAGGAGAAATCAAAATGTGGAATTTCCAAAATGTTTCTGAGAGGAAGCTGTTGTCTGATTCATAAAAGTGAG